CCTAAAAGATGAGAATTCTTTCAATAGGCAGATTTCTTTTTTTTTTTCCTTGTCAGTGAAATAATCTTTCTTTATTTTTACAAAATGATCTTCTGTTTCAATGTTTTGGAATATCAACTTCAGGGACATAATAACCCTTTTGGTACACTGTCTTTGTCTTATTACTGACTTCTCTCCAATTGCTTTAATCCATTTTCCTTTTTCAGTCCCTCTGATTGTCTCCAGCCTTTCCTCTTTGTTGGTAAAAATTTTCACTGGTATCTATTCTGTTTCCTGCTATTTCTAATGAGTATTTTTGTTCTATAATTATCATGCTTTTTTTCATTCTAAATTTGTTTTCCCAGACTTAAAATATCCTTTTTCATGCCATATCCTTGGTTTAGCATCTTACCTTTGAGCTTCTGCTTTATGGAATGTATGTTCTTACTAAGGTGCGCTCTACTTGCAGGAGTAAATTAGTACACAATTTCATGGTCTCAGTGAAGTTTATGCTTTTTTTCTTAGTGGGCTCTATCAGATTAGATTTCGGGGAAGACTATTTCAGTGCAAAAAGCTATGGGTCTTTTTGTTTCCAATTTACAGTGTTGCTCTGAAGTCTTCATTTCTCTGGAGAGGGAGCATTTGTTCACCTTCCTCCATCTCACCAGTTTCTCTCCCAGAATCCTTTATACTATGCCTCAGTCACAAGAAAAAAACACCACCACCACCAAAAAGCTGAGGATGTCCACTCAGTTTGCTTCTCTCCAGTTATGGGAATATTAGTGAAATTTTTCAGGAAGTTGTCAACTTGTCAGTAAAATTCTAAAGAGGAACAGAATTCAGGCCCTGTTAAGTCTCTCAGTTCTGATCAAAGGTCCTGGCTTCCATTTTTCCTTTGACTGCCAGTTTCTGAGATATGTTGCATTAGGTCAAATCATTTTCTTTGCCCAGTTAATGCTAAGTGTTGTATATGCGGGGTGGGGTGGGTGGAGGGGTAGACAGTTTATACTATTTTAGGATTCCTTCATTATCGATCAGTGGTGAGACATAATATAGTACGTTTTCAAATTTCTCATCTCAAAAATGACCTTTTTAAATTCAGAGTTTGGGCTTATTATAGTCTTCTGAGGGATTTTATTGAATTTCCTTACTTAAAGGACATAACAACAATTATGCCACCTGTGTTACCCACAGAAAAATAAAATACTCATTCTTGTCCCCATTCTCAATGGGCCTACTCATAACCAGCTTTTTGATTGCTACCTATCAGATATTTCAGTTGATAACAACCTTGTAAGTAAAGATAACCTGAGTTAGAGAATGGCAAAAATAGTAATTATGGGGAATGCCAGAAGTGATTCTTGACATGACAGGGGCATTTCACAGACTTGCATTTTCATAATTAGATTCTGCTTTCCAAGTAGACATAAAAGACTACTGAATCTAAAATGTTCATTTTCCCTCGACAATACACACCAAGGAGATAAAAGGATTCTGAAAGGGGGAAGAGACATTTTCCTTACAAGAAATTCAGAGTTTAGATTTCAATGTTTTTCTTTTATACCCTAAAATAAGAATACATAGTGAAAAGAGGAGTTTTCCTTATTGGAAACGTGTTTTACAATGATGCTATACAAACGCTAGGAAATTCTTTCATAATGATCATTCCAATATCATCTGGATGGCTCTGCTGTCCAGCATATTAAGCAACAAGCCTGGCAACAGGACAACACCCCGAATTCTGCCAGCCACTGCTGAGTGACCTGGGTCAGAGCTTGTACATGCTTCAGCTTCTGCCACTTCTCACTTATATTGGCCCACACAGCCACAAAAGTGGCGACTGACCTGGCAAGATGTGTCACTCATACCAAACTGCAAGATTCAATATTATAAAGCATTTTTACTGGAAAAAAGAAAGAAAGAAAGAAACAAACACTAGCAGACTACATTGTAGAACCTAATTCTACCTTAGATGTCTAGCGTGGCTAGGCCAGAATTAGGAAAAAACGGAACCATAAAAAGCACTTGTAATTCAATAGTGTATAAAAAGCTCTGAAGTAAAGTCATCGATATTAATGCACAGTATCCAATATAACGAGAAAAACAAATAGGAACTGGAAAGCAATGACTAACGAGAAAACACAGCTTTTCAAACAGCTAATTTCAAGAAATCTGCTGCTGGGACTTCACTGTTAATTCTGCAACTTCTTCGCCTTTGAATATTATGTAATAAGACATTTCATAGTGCGTGCGTGCACGCGCACACACACACACACACACACACACACACACTACTCTGATTAAAAGTCACCATTTGCCCAAGGAGAGAATTTAATTCTTATCAGACCAGGAAAACAAAACCAAACCCTGATTTATAAGGTAACTAAGGAAAACTTATCAAAATAAAAAGTCATTCGCCCACGTGATGTACAATCTATAGCTTATCTGGCTCATTCAGTGAGCTAGATCTTGGTACTGAAGAACCATAAACCCAAGTTCATTCACTAAAAGTATTAATAAAAAAGAGTGAGAACACACGTTAATGACGTGTTACCTTTGACCTTCACAGGAATGCCAAGAGGTAAGCAGGAGGACATCTTTATTCTTCAGTTTACAAGTGAGTAAACCAGTTCCACAACCTAGCAGCAGAGCTCTGGCTAGAACACAGAGCTCTCAGCTCCTAGAACAGTATTCCCTCCACCTTGCACTACTACAGTGTATCTTTTTCTCTTTCAGATCCAGAAACTCCCATCAATTTCTAACCCTTTCAGTCACATCTATGCCATTGGTCCAAAGAGGAACAAGATTTGTAGCTAAATGTAAACAAAACACACCCCTAATTTAGCAATTAAAGGGCAAACCCTACCAATATGGGTCACCAGCGTCACTATCACTTCCCCTTTCCCCTATATCAGTGATAACCAAAGTTTGCTGCATATTAGAATTACACAGGATTTTAAAAACCCCAGTGTCCAGGCTGTTTCTCATACCATTTAAATAAAAACACTAGAGGCGGACCCCAGACACCAGCATTTTGTAAAATACTCAGTGACACCACCTTTGAGAGTCACTGCCTCAGCAGTATACAACACTAGGGAAATTAAATTTAAGGGCATATAATAATATGCTAATAAACAAAACCAAAAGTTATAGGACATGGTAGGAAGAACGCAAATGTTTTTATGTTTCAAAATTAAAAATAAATAGAACTTGGAGTTTCCTTATTTATACCAGACAGGTTTGGGAGTGGATGTCAACTGACATCACATTTTGTTTACTGGTGCTTACATGTTTCTTCCTGTAAAGTTGACAACAGCACAGACAGTCTCAAGCAGGTCCCTGCTTAAAAATATTGTTGCTTTGTATTTAAAAAATCATGAAATGTCAGGAAAATGACAATTTCAACTGAAATTGGAGTAGATTTGTGTATAATTATCAGATATTGAGAAAAAGTGAAGCTTGCAAACACCTGTAGCAGGGTTCAGTGCTAGCAGACAGTCTCTGCTTGAAAGGCACAGCTTGTTTTCTACAACATGAAAGAAATAGTAAACTTGTAACACGGAGATAAGGACTAAAAGGACAAAGTGTAGTACTGAACAGACATCTAAAACAGTAATTTAAATAGAGTTGGTAGATATTTACAAATAAAATGCTAGGTGACCAGTTCCATCAGAGACATACAGGCTGACCCCTCCTCATGCTTCTGTCAGCTTTGCAGCTGACAGAAATTCTGGTATGTTTGCTTTTAATAAGCAGGCACTACGAATTAATATAAGTCCTGTCACTTAGGTGTGAACATACCAGAATGACCCAAAATTGATATTTTACTCTGGAACAGAAGGATCCTAAAATCATTACAAATAACCGAGCTTCAAAGAAAACTTGCTTCAAACACAGATCCAGAGCTGAGAAGGCGTTCAATGCTAAAACAGATATCAAGCCAACCTGTGGAATCTTTCTTTCCCATCTAGTTCTACCAAGTAAACGCTGCTTTATGCCACATTCTTAATATGGAAATCTAGGTGGTGATCTATAATTATGATTAAGCCCACACAGAAACACAGAAGACGTGAGGGAGAACTTTAAGCCAATTTAGACTGAAGCATTCCGAAGAGAACCAAGACAAAAAGTCCCTCAAGCTTTAGGAACTAGCTGTAAGGGATAAATAGGAAAAGCAACAATTACAAGTACCCAAGTACCGTGCTATTGCCCAGAGAGTCTGTGCTTTTAACAAACAGAAACTGATAAAGCTGACAAGCTTCATCTCCCATCAACTCAGCTTCTTGAAGGCACAAGCATATTCAACAGAGAAGCTAGAAATCGGAGTCTGTTTCTGTTATCCTTTAAAATGTTGCACCTGCATATAACATCTTTATATGTGTGTTATGCCATTGCATCTGCCTGACAATGCTTGACTCCCCAAAAGCTTTGAAGACGATTAAAATAACCATCTACTAATAATAAATTTATTTCATCCTTAAGAAGTTTCATTTCGGGCTGAGGAAAAAAAAAAAGCCAAATTAAAACTACCTTCACAACTCTTGTAGCAAGCACATTTCAAAAGGTAGGTCTATAAATAGATGTGATTCTGTAGGCACACTGTAAATATAAAATCATCTGGCTAGAGACGGCTGCACGGGAAACTGCAGCCCCAACATGAACCTACCTGATTTTTAAAGTCCCGCTAGAACACACATACAATCAGTACACATCTCCTCTTTCTAGTTGCACAGTCAGTCAGTTGCAAAACACCCCCAACTACATTTTACTTATCTCAGTCCCATCCTTCAAAAGAAGCTTGGCGATTTCATTCAGAAGCAGCCTGTCCCTGAGCACACTGAATATGCACGCAAACAGCAATGGAAGGGATCTAAGTTAAACCTTCCAGATGCACCAAGAAAACAGCAACATCAACACCCAAAAGCAGCAGACCCTTAAGAGAGGCGCTTCCCTGAGCTGCATTTCTCAAGTCAGCCCCCTTTTCACACAGAAAACGGCTCAGTGATGAAGAAAGATCTTACCTGAGCTGATCATACTGTGCATTCTCTGCTGAGCCAAGAGCTGCTCTCGTCCAGCCACCCCATCTGAAGAAAAACACGAGTCAGTCTCGTAAATTGTCTGCAGCATATTCCAATCACTCTTACTTCAGCTACATGAAAGATTCATCGCTGCTCAGTGCACGGGCCCCAGGAGCTACCCTGGCTGGTCCTCCCTCCTCCCCAAGGAAAAACGGCAGAGGATCAACTTCAGCAATGATTTGCTTTCTGTTCAGAGGGACACGCACTTTTCAGAAGACCTGGACACTTTTCCTATGTTACCAACCTGTGTACAAAGCAGAAAGGACCCCGTGGATGCTAGGGCTCTCTGGAGTTTAGGCTATCCCGGAAACTAAAAGCAGGTGGGAACTAGGAGTGTGCTTCAGGGTTATTGCTTTGTCAGAGTAAGTAGAAAAATATTAACTCTACCCACGAGAAAAAGAAACCAATTAAACCTGGCTTATAGTTCCTCAGGCTGCTAGAGTTTCCTTGTAGGAACCGTCAGTCAGTCCTGCCAGTGGCTCCGGCCGGTGCCCTCTGCTATCTGTGTGTGTCTCTTCCTCCTCTCTGGTCTCTCTCAGCTCAACTTGGCTAAAGCTAGTGATAATCCATTTGCATATGAATCAACAACAGCAAGGCCCACAGGCACAGAAATAGAACAATGGTCGGCCTGAGCCAAAAATAGGTCAAGCATGGCCGAGTGATTGGAGCCTGCATTAATGCATTTAAAAATACCCCAGCAAACCCAGCTGTCCAGCCTCTATCTTTCAAACCATAATTCTCTATTGCAGGGCCTTAAAAGCCATTAACTCTTTCCTCCCTCCAAGCTTGCTTTACACACTGTTTCCATACTGGCGATTTGCTTCCAAAGAAAGGGGGGGGGNATCATAATTCTAAGAGGGCAAATGCACATACATTTCATTTTATTTTTGTAGTATGTGTTTTTGGAAGAGAGAGGAGAGAAGTGCAGAGCTCTGTATTGGTTCTAAAATAATACTGGAAGCTTTTGCTCATAATGTGGTTTCTGCCTCACCCACGCACAGCAATCCTGGTGTTCTATTTTTGTTGCCTGTTTCTCTGGCTACACTGCAGTTGGCTGCAGCACTAGAAGCTTTTCTGCCTTCTAGTTTCAAGACTGACAGGAGATTTAGGAGAGGTAGTTTCAGAAAACAAGCACACCCCAGAAAAAAATGTTTATGAAGGAATAGCTTGATTTTTTTACTTGCTATTTAATGTAAGGCAACTGTCCGCTTCACAAATCTTAATGCAATCTTAGTACTACCTATTATATCCTATTCAGTTTCTATTATATCTAAATTTTTTAAAATGTGTGTATATATGAATATATATATGTATGTGTGTGAATACACACACACACACATACATATATATATAACTTAGACCTAAAAATTCTCCATTTCAGCTTTTCAGGCTAAATTCAATTCACCTGCAAAAGGAAAAGAACATGTTGGTACTTTTCCTATGTAGGTACTTTTCTTATGGATGGTGCAGCACTACTGCATGTAAGCACCTGTGGTTCAATAAATATAAACAGTCAGTCCTCAGATGAATGTTCAGCATTCATCTCTACACTGATTGCCTAAAATACAGACCTCACTTTTCTATAGAAATAGTATTTATAATAGTTGATATATTCCCAGACCAACACATATTGTGGAACTCACCTGTAAAGTAAATGAGCTACAGAATTTAGTACTAAAAATTCTATACTTTCTGGTGTATCCATACAACATCTTTTCTACATGAGGAATAAATTCTACATCATAAATTGGCTTGCTAGCTTCCAGCAACTCCCAAGGGCAAATCCCAAAGTGAAAATCCAATGGTCTGGGAGATAGTCTCCTTTTTCTAAACTAGATCAGCAAGAAAAATAAAATTCCTAAGGCACTGGTAGCAGCACAGAAAGAAAGGGAAACAGCAGAGTGTTTCAAGGTTCTCAGGACAATCAAATGAAGGAGGAATGTCAACCAGAGTGTGAGGCATTAGAAAAAGAACAAGGACACAGAATTTTGGTGAAAAGGAGGAAGCATGTTAAGTCAATAGGCAGGTTAAATAGGCACTGTTAAAAAATGGCACTAAATTTTCCTTCTTTCATATATTAACTTCTACTTATTGCACAATTCCCAGGTGGCGACAGTGGTAAAGAACCCACCTGCTAGTGCAGGAGACTTAAGAGACCTGGGTTTGATCTCTGGGTCATGAAGATACCCTGAAGGAGAGCATGGCAACCCATTCCAATATTCTTGCCTGGAGAATCCCATAGACAGAGGAGCCTGGTGAGCTACAGTTCATGGGGTCGCAAAGAGTCAGACATGGCTGAAGCGACTTAGCACAAACACATTGCACAATTATATTTGAACAGATAAATTACAAGATTTTTTTAAAGAGCTATTCCAAATTATATTTGACTTAAGCAAAACAAGAAAACCTTATGCTCCTGTCAATGGTAAAAACTATTTAATTTCACCTGCTATTACAAGTAAACCTTCACTCTATTAAGAAATTAGTGTTTAAAATTCCAGAAATGGAAATTCTGTGGATCTGGCAACTTAGAGATTATGTAACTAATCACAGCATTTTAGACCTGGGAGGACATCTATAGTGATGTCCAAACTCTCTGTTCCCCAGGATGCCAGGGTACCTGGGAGCTGACTCATAGTGTTCTCCAGAAGAGGTTCTTCCCTGAACCAGAGCAGCCTAATTTTCATCTGCTTACTTGGAAATGATTTCTTTTGAATAACAACTTCTTGTGTTAAAACAAAAATTAAGGAAAAAAATATGGTGTATGGTGACAGATGGTAACCGGATTTATCATCACTATCATTTTGTAATGTATGGAAGTATCTCAAGTCATTATGCTGTGCACCAGGAACTAACACAGTGTTGTATAGGTCAGTCATACTCTGAAGACAAACTCATTAAAAAAAAAAATCAGATTTGTGATTACCAGAGTAGAGGGGTAAGGGGAAAGGAATTGGATGAAGGTGGTCAAAGGTACGAACTTCTAGTTATAAGATAAAGAATATGCATGTAATGTACAACATAATCATTATATTATATAATACATAATTAGTTAATATATGATTAATATAATTAACACTGTTGTCTATTATAAAAAAAAGTTGTGAAGAGAGTAAATTCCAAGAGTTCTTATCACAAGAAAAAAGTTTTTCTTTTCACTTTATCTTGTATCTATAGCAGATGATGTTTCAGATGAATCACTAAACTTGTGGTAATCATTAATGCTGTACGTAAGTCAAGACATTATGCTCTACACCTTAAACATACAGCGCTGTATGTCAATTATATCTCAGTAAAACTGGAAGGAAAAAAAAGTTGATCTAGTACGAATGGTCTGCCTAATTTACACATGAAGAAAGTAAAGAAACTTTTTAGGGCTATGAAGGATGCAAAAAGCATTCACTAATGGAGTTATGACAAAAAAGAGATTTGCTTAATTTCTAACAGGTAGTCTAGCCTAGCAGGACCAGCATTCATGTTCTCAAGCCTACCATTTCATCCCTTATAATGCAAATAAGTATCTGAGACATTCAGAATAAACTTTGGTATTATCTACTTATGAAAAATAGAATCATTCAATTGTCTCAGACTGATTTTAAACCGAATACATAAAACTAGTGATAAACATATAAGAGAGATGACAAAAATTCTAGTACAGAGACTTCCCTGGAGGCCTAGTGGTTAAGACTCCACACTCCCATTGTAGAAGACCTGGGTTTAACCCTTGGTCAGGGAACTAGATACCACATGCCACAACTAAGACCTGGTACAGCCAAATAAATAAATAAATATATTTTTAAAAAACAAATACTTTCTCTTTAAAAAAAATCCTAGTACAGAATTTCCCTGACTACAGTTGTGGTTACTTCCCAATAAACCCCTGCATGAAAAATATCATTAAGTCAAAATGAGTTTAATGTACACTTAACCCACCAAACATCATAACTTATCCTAGCCTACTTTAAACAGGCTCAGAACACTTACGGAACTCTACAGTTGGACAAAAGCATCTAACACAAAGCGTATTTTACATTGAGTATTGACTATCTCGTGTAATTGACTGAATACTGTGCTGAAAGTGAAAACTAAATGTTTTTAAGCATATTGGTTATTTACCCAGCGAACAGTGTGGCTGACTAGGAACTTTGGCTCATGGCTACTGCCCAGCATCTTCAGAAAATATCAAAAGGCCTATCACTAGCACAGAAAAGACCAAAACGTCAACTAGGGTTTCTACTAAATGCTTGTCTTTTTCACACCATACTACAGTTGAAAACTGGTAAATGGAACTGAAACCATGCATAGTGATTAGTCAAATCTATTTCACCTGCCTGGACTAATCAAGGTTGTTTTAATATTTGCATGCCCTCCAACAGCACATGGCCTAAACAATAAGATGTTTGCCCAAGAAGTTTTCCAAAAACCTGGAGTCAGTTGCATATAATTTGAGCTGAGTTGGTTAAGACTGGGTAGGACCATAGACTCTTCAAATGCGCATGCCGAGTGTTCACCAAGTGACCTTTTGAACGTGTAGAAGCCTGTAGCTTAGTTGCACCTGCACGTAAAGACAATTATTGCACCTTTTTCCAACCACATTTCCCCAGGCTTCCCAAGCTCCCCATGCCTCAGACGCCCCTGCTTTTCTTTATCCCATCAATACCCCTAGCCCTTGGTCTGTGAGATTTGTTCTTTTGTCTTCTCACCAGGCTGCCTTTCCAATAAGTCCTCTCTCTGCTAAAAATCTCCAGGGGTTCAGCGTTTTGGCTTGCTGTGTGTCAGCAGGATGAACCTGGTTCAGTAACTGAACCACTAACATTGGGGACCACCTGTATTGACATAATATAAATCTCTTGTTGTTTTACATTTACAATATTCCCTCAAACTACAATTTACAAAAATATTCACCAAGCTTTATAATCATACAAAATAAAGTGAAACTCAAAAGAGTAATTATCCATTCTCAGAGGTCCCCAGATAGGGCAATCCACCAAATTATGGATCTTCTT